CAGGCATCTGCCCTCAAAGTGCCCAAGGCAAGTTTAGGGCAAGCACGTGTTCGGCTGTTATGGCTGCCGAAAGGGGAGCTGGTCCCTTCATTACCACAAAGAAAAGAACCCTAATTTTGAGCTTGCAATTATCATATAGTGGTATACTTTGGTGTTTTATACTGTGTCAGAGTTGGATTAGTAGCTTATTAAAACTTTACTGATTAATGTAAGGAAGAACCAGAGTGTGATCTCTGATTCTCATGTTGGAGCAAACAGACAAGACATTTAAAGAGACACAGTAAACTTGAAACTGCCAGGGACAAGAAACCAGATCTACTGCAGATGAACAGGCAGGGTTTTTGCATGCAATGTGTGCCCTTCTGGCCCCTGGAAAGACACGCCATTAAGCAAACAAGCCATGCACAACAGACCCAGTAAAAGAAGAAATTGGAGACAAAGAAATAAAAGGCAAAAAAAGTAAATAATTTTGCCGGGCGTTGGTGGTGCACGCCTTTAATCCCAGCACTGGTGAGGCAGAGGCAGGTGGATCTCTGTGAGTTCAAAGCCACCCTGGTCTCCAGAGCGAGTGCCAAAATAAGCTCCAAAGCTACACAGAGAAATCCTGTCTCGAAAAACCAAAAAAAAAAAGTAAATAATTTTGTTTGGCAGCAGGATTTGTCGGCAGATGCTGGCTAGACTGTCCCTCTGCCTAGGCTGAGAGAAGGGAGTAACCTATGGAGTGGGTGACCTAATGCTACACCACATGGTCACTCTCCGTCAAGATGGCGGCTGCCATAAACAGGTTCCCATTCACTGGCAGAAGTTAGAAAGGTCCCGTAAAGTTTTGAGATATAATTTTGTTGGCTTGTTTCCCACGAGTGAAGCACAAAGATACATGAAGCCCGTAGGACACCGGAGTCCAAGGGGCACAACATCTAAAACAACCCCTGTGGGTCTGAGAAGCAAATGTACCAGTCAGTATGGACAGTGCTAGGGTGTAAAACCTGACAGACCCCCGTAGGTCTGAAAAACAAGGCACTGTTCAGTGAGGGCAGGGCTAGGATACAAAACTCAAAAACCTCATTCATAGGGAAAAATTAAAATGAAAAATTCTCCGAAAGTCCTGAGTAGACAGTGTCGCAGGCCAGCCCACTGTGAGCCTCTGGCATCTCTGTGGAGGAGAAACATGGTAGTAGTGCAGCTAGGTGGAAAAGAGGGACCCGCCATCCCAGCTTGAATGGCTCAGCAGAGATCAGACAAACAGGAGAGGGAGACATTATGAACAGGAGCATAAAATGACATTCCCAGGCAAAGAGAGGATGCGCTCTGAGACAGGGGAGAGGCAGCAGGACCCACTGTGGCAGGCTAGAGAGAGTTTTAGCATACCGGAAACAGAAGGGAAACAGACAATTGAAAAAGAGCAGAGGCTGCGCTTCCAACTATGGATCACCTGTAGAACGTAGGGTGCCAACCAGTGGACACATGGTTTGATATGGGGGGAGTCAGTTTCCATGAGTGAAGTAGAGAAGATCCAAAGCCTATAATCTCCAATGTCCCAGAGAATAAGGGTGGATCAGATACAAGAGGCACAAACTGATTTTGTGGTCAGTCCATCAGGCACACATCAGGGGCCAGGGCTCCTGGAGCCCAAGAGACATGCCGAAACCCAGTACTGGGGCTTTGTACTGGGGTTTTTTAGTGGGCCAAAAAGGCGAGAGACCACAGTCTCAATACAGGTCCTAACACATGGCAGCATGAGCAGAGGTAGAGAGGAAGGGGCACTTACCAGACATGGTGGTGGTAGATGGAAGAATCCAGAGATCATTAGTTGGAAAAGTAACCGAGTTGAAGGTTATAGGGTCCTGTTGTATCTCGGACAGCCACAGGCAGGAAGAAATGCCAGGAAAACCTGCCGAGTCACGTGTACCATAAGTTATGATAAAGCACATGGGGGACCTTGGTGGATTCCATGGCAGGAAAGGGTAACGGGGCGGGGAGGCAGGGGAGAGGGGAGGCGGGGGAGAACATGGCAGGCAAATAGAGCTTAGTGAGAAATTTTATTAGAAAGGGCGAGGGTAGAAGGAATGAGAAAAGAAGTAAAGAGACCCAGAGACAGAGAAAGGACAGAAGAGAAGAGGGAGACAGGAAAAGTCTGCCCCAGGGGAACGGTGTGAAAGAGAGTGGGAAAGAGGAGCCAGAAAGAGAGAGAAAAAAGAGAGCATAAAGTGGGCAGGAGTCTTCCTTTTAAAGGGGTCCTTTGCATGTAGGCTGACCAGGGTACTGCCTGAGAGCACGCTGCCAGGTGACAGAGACAGGCCAGTGTAATGCCTGCATCCTTACACTAATCTAAGTGCAGATTCTCTTCCAGAGTGAGCTGAGCACCCTGAGACTAGTAAGAAATGAGAAAATGGTGAAAGTAACACAGTGGACATCACCGTGTGTATTTTGTTGACCTTCATCATTGACTTTTAATACCCCCAGGTCTTCGAGGCCATTTCTGGTGTGGTGGACGGAGAGTTCCTACCCAGGCATCCCCTAGAGCTGTTGGCTTCTGTGGATTTTCAACCTGTCCCCAGCATCATAGGTTTCAACAATGATGAGTATGGTTGGATCATCCCTACGGTAAGGCTCACTTCCAATCCTCCAGGAGCCTGGAGACTCAGGTTAAGCAGTGGGAATTCAATACATCTTTAATCTAAGTCCATCCAATCCTGCTCTTAACCATTGCCTTTTGCTTCCCAGGTGGTAAACAGTGCCCAGACAATAAAGGAAATAACCAGAGAAAACCTGCAGGCTGTTCTGAAGAATGCAACAGCACAAATGGTGAGACACCTCTAGTCTTGTCCATATAAAGAGCTCTCTCATAGCTCCTTCTCAGGCAGCATCCCTGCTAATAAAGGTCAGTATAAGGGTGATTCTATGTGGGGTCACCCAGAGGTGTAGCAGGTTCTTTCTCTTTTGGAGGCCACCAAGCAGCTCCCAAATCATGACATGAAGACTTGTTATTATTTATGGATGTTCAGGCTTATCTTATTCTTGCCCGACTAGCTCTTAAAATGAACCTGTTTCTCTTCCTCTACAATTTGCCTCGGGGCTTTTAGCTTTCTTCCCTTTTGTGTATCACTGTCACTGTTCCTCATGTCTGGCTGGCAGCTGCCTGAACTCTGGCTCCTGATGAGTCCCTCCCTTCCTCCTCGTTGTCTTCCCTTTCCCTTCTTCTGAGACTAAATTCCTCCTCCTATGTATTCTCTCTGCCCGCCAGCCCTGCCTATCCCTCTCCTGCCTGATTTATTAGACCAATCAGGTGCATTGGGCAGGAAAGACAAAACAGCGACACATTTTTACATAATTACAGCAACAACAAATATAGCACATCTTGGCATCATTAACAAAGGCAATAGAAACAAATGTAACACACCTTTACACAGTTAAAGTAATATTCCACCACATCAACAAATGTAACACATCTTTGCCCTGTTAAAGTAACATTTCACAAGATTGGAGCTTGAACCTTTTTGCCTATAGCCTGTCTCTACCCTGGGCCCATTCTCCCCAGACCAAAGGCTGCCGCCCACCTAACTGAGAACATGCCAAGCCTCATTCTTCCTGCTCTCCTTGGTGTAGATGTTGCCTCCTGAGTGTAGTGACCTGCTAATGGAAGAATATATGGGGGACACTGAGGATCCCCAAACCCTCCAAATACAGTTCACAGAGATGATGGGAGACTTCATGTTTGCGATCCCAGCACTCCAAGTAGCACATTTTCAGCGTGAGTACACCTGTAACACGGCTCAGGGGAGCAGCTCACAGATGTAGGTGATGGGTGAGCACTGTGGAGCTGTGTGGTACCCAGGTCTCATGTCTAGTTATTGAGAGTGACATCTAGGTACAGAGGAGGAAATGGGTCACTGACACTCTATTGACTTGACAAAACCACTCAGCTGGGAAGGCCACAGACACAGTTTAGCCAAGGGCTTTTCCACAGCTAGGGCTCCAGCCCAAAGCTCCCTCCACCACTTAACTTTTATGATTCTAGGTAACATTTCATCAAGGTTTCTTGTCACCAAACATGTATAAGAAAAGCTCCAGGTAAGGGAATACTAAGTCACCATCTGTTTTTGCCTCCAGGCTCCCATGCCCCTGTCTACTTCTATGAGTTCCAACATCAACCCTCCTTTGTAAAGAATGTCAGGCCACCCCACGTGAAGGCTGACCATGGTGATGAGGTTCCTTTTGTCTTCGGGTCCTTATTCTGGGGTGTGAAACGTGAGTCTTCCTTATTTTTGTTGAGTTGAATGAGGTCCCAGATGAATCTCTGAGGGACTCCTGAGCTCTCAGTCCATTTGCTATACATGTATGGTTTAGAATCTGGACCCTTCCCAGTCTAACCTATAATAGGCGAGATGACAGAACATTGGGTCAAGAATTCAATTAGAGGCTTGCATGAATCTTGGACACTTATATAGTGAAGAAGGGAGGTAGCAAAGCCAATAGTTTGGGGTCAGACAACAGCTAGGATTGTGAATCTGAAGCATAAGTTGGCAATAGTGTGAGATGGCATATACTTTTCCTTTGTCTTCCTCATGACTCCAGTTGACCTCACCAAGGAGGAGGAGCTACTGAACAAGAGGATGATGAAGTACTGGGCCAACTTTGCAAGACATGGGTGAGTACACGCCTCTCTCTCCCAATCTTCCAGGTGTAGGTCCCTATCTAGGGCTCTCTTTTGGATGGTGGCCTTCTTATCATGCATGGGTATCTCAACATGTGATAGAGTATTCGCTACCCCATAGCACATTTATACAGATACTTTATAATTGTCAGTTACTGAACATCTCACAGTGACCTGGTTCATGAGCCATGGTAATATGGTACAGTTCTTTAGATCTTACTTCTTATAGGGAGATATAAAACAACAGGTCAAGTAGTCATCACCCACGTGGGGCAAAAACTAGTGAGTGACACTTGTATCCTTATATCAGGACACCTGTCCCATCAGGCCCTTTAATCACTGGCCTAATTTTACCACTGATCTGACCCAAATCAGGGGATTAGCCTTTGAACAATAATGACCCCACCCTTACCTATTGGTGGCATATCCACAGGAACCCCAACAGCGAGGGTCTACCCTACTGGCCCATGTTGGACCATGATGAGCAGTACCTGCAGCTGAACATCCAGCCTGCTGTGGGCCAAGCCTTGAAGGCCAGAAGGCTGCAGTTCTGGACCAAGACTCTGCCCCAGAAGATCCAGGAGCTAAAGAGGTCACAGAACATGCACAAAGAACTATAGGGCCCTATGTGAGGAATGGTGTGTTAGCTTGGCTGCTGATAGAGTCAGCTTGAGGTTCCCAAAACATATTGAGGAGCCTGGGTTGATTCTAGCATTCACATAACCTCTGCACTTGTCTGTTCTTCCACATTTATCACAAATCCTCTGCATGTAGCTCTCTACCCTGCTGGGCCATCTTTTGTTAGACTTACTCAAAAGTGCTCCAATAACAGTGTGGATGTGTGAGTCCCAAAGTACACATCTCCTTTCATACTCCACTGGTACTAGACCCTTTATGCCCTTCCTCCTTTAAAGTCTCATCCTCAGTGTCCTCTTCTCTAAGACCAAAACCCTCTTTAAGTGAATCAGAAGCTTTGGAGAGCTTTGATATAGGTTCTTAGGAGAACTTATATCATACAGTGGGCTGTATCAAAATCACATCCCTCTCTCAGCAAGTCCATACTTTTGGAGATTTTGAAGTCCAAGGTTAAGATACCAACAGATATGTTGTATTTTGATGACTAGCTCTCTGACACAAATATGGTAACCTGTTTGCGATGGGATAATTAATAGTTCTCATAACCCAGGCCTCCAATAGGCCTAACGCCATCATATTGGAGTCTAAGTTTCAATATAGAAACCTGATTCACAGACACTTTCAAAACACAGAACATTAAGGTTCCCAAGTCTGTCTCTGGATTTGAAAACATCTGAAAGCATTTCTACCTGTTGTGTTTGTAGGTAAAATGTCACTTACAAACTATTTTAAGATAATCTGCCTATTCATCAATATTTATTTGTTTTTCCTCTTCCCCTCCCCATCATCCAACCCCATTCATCTATTTCCATGCCAAAGTAGTTAGTGACACAATATTATATCAGACATCTACTATCTCATCAAGCCTGGAAGAGTTTTTGTGTATGCGTGTGTCCAGAAGAACTAGGTTGGTTACTATGTGTCTTCTGAGGTTTGTCTTGATTTCCAGGGGTTCTGTGGACATGGCAATGCCCACAATTTCGTGATCATAGTATATCTGTTAAGATGTTTGATTATAGGGTGAGTGATAGAGCAGGGTGGGGGTATCAGAAGGTCCACATATATACAATAGAGGTTCTGTCTCCTGTCTCCATGAGCACTTGTGCATGTATGGGGGTGTCCTCCTGACTTCCACAGTTCCCTTCTGGCCCCTGTGATAACCCTCTTCCCCGATTGTCCATCTGCATGACTTTCATTTTTACCTATTTACTGTTACTAAGCATTTTGGCCTTTCTTTTACTTTATGTCATTATACAAAAGTGCCAAATTCTCCTCAAGCTGCCTGAATTCTCCAGAAATATTTTCTTTGTCATTAAGAGCCCAGATCCTTCATACTAGAGACCCTGTCATGTCATATCCCCTCATCTCTGATCAGCTTGCCCTACAAATCAGGCTTTCCCAATTTGGCAAAGTACCCCTTTTAAAATTCAGTGCAAGGAAGACCAAAGTGAAAGATTATTGATTGGGGTCAAAGTGAAGATTGTTGATTATCCATCCTGGATACCCTCTAGGAGGGCTGGTGCCAGATTCTCCCACTCTGACCTGGGCTTATTATCGGGCTCCTGCTGCCAATGATTAAGACACATTAGGCTGTTCAGGTAACACAAAGAATCTAGTGCATGTCTTTGATTTTGGAAGAGCTGGGACAGTCCATCTCCCAAAGCCCAGCTGTTCCTTCAGATGGGAAGTTGAGGGGAGAGAGAACATCTGCCTAGGCCAGGAATGGGAGCACAGAGAATTTGAAGGGAGACACTGAATTGACATCATGCCTTATTGACTGAGGGAGTCAGGCACAGCCATGGTTGTTCCATGCCAGTGTTAACATTCAGAAAAGCCCTGAGAAGGAAGGCCCACAGTGTCAGGCTGTGGGTACTCTAGATTTCAGAGAACTAGAGAGACAGAGTCAGGTTCTCAGGAGGCACTGATGGCCATCTGAAGTACACCCCCATCCAATTCTCTCAATAAAATCTGCCCCAGCCAAGTGGGAACCCCTGGCAGGGTTCTCTGGGATTTGAAACTCCTGTTCATGGCCCAGTATCTCAGCTTCACCATAGCCTCTCAGAGTCCAGAGATCCCTGGTGTGGAACTATCATGGCCTAAAAATGGTTGTCAGGTGGATAAATGACTCTGACCTTGTTCTCAGTAGGAGCTGCCATCATACTAGCCACTGTATAGAAGAGAAATAAACAGGAGTATGGCACTAAAGAAGTGCCACACAAAAACAGAATAACATACAAATTAAAGACACCATAGATCTAGTGGAGCCTATAGACTCCTTTAAACACTACAAAATGCATTCTTCCTGGAAGTCCATAAAAATTTTCTACAAAATAGGTTGTTTATTAGATAACAAAAGACGTTTTAGGAAATACAGGAAAATTGAAATAATTACATCTGTTTGATCACAATAGCATAAAATCTGAATCCACATTAAAAGAAGTGACAGAACACATGCAGTCATATGGAGATAAACAACACGCTACTGAATGATGATTACATTTTGAGTGAAATCAAGAAGAAAAGCTAAAATTGTGTAGAATCAAATGAAAAGGAAAGACAACAATGCCAAACCCCAGAGGGCACACTCAAGGCAGCTCTAATGACTAAATTCAAACTCAAATGCCTGTCCCTTCTGCATCTGTGGGATCCTCAACACAAACCTCCTTGCAGAAGCCAGATCACAATCACAGCTTCTCCTCCCTGCTCCCACTACAAAAGCCACATTTGACCTGTGAATCTGAGGACCATAAATGTGAGGACTCAAGGTTAGGGGTAAGGGTTGCTGGTATCTAGAATGGCTCCAGAGCCCATGCTGTGGCTTCCCAGGGAACCAAACAGTGAGAAAATCCAGCAGCTATGGCTTCCACCACCTGGTAAGTTCTGGTTCTATTCTGTCTCATCAGTGCAGCTCTCCTGAAGCTGCCACTTTCCCCCCAACAAGCTGCTTGCCTACACCTCTGTGGATACAAATCCTGCATGGACAAGGCCTGAAATATCTTCCTCCTGGGAAACATGGTGCATCCACTGCAACACAGACTCAGACCTAGGAGGTAATCATGCCACTGGAAGAGTTTCCTGAATGCTGTGGTCTAAGGACGCCTGCTTCTCCTCCTCTTGTGCATGCTAAAACTCTTAAGGGGGGTGGGATACAGAGTGGCATCAGAGAGTGTTACGATAAATCTTTCCGCCAAAAGCGCCGAGCCCCACCACCACGTGTGTGCTTTACGACAGCCACCCGCCCGAGTTAAGGCCCCAATTAATGCACAGAGAGACTTGTATTAGGTTCAAAGCTGCTTGGGTAATGACTAGGATTCCTCATCTGTTAGCTCAGTCTTAATTATCATAAACCTATATATTTTATAAGATTTATCTTATAGAGGATGCCTTTCGCTGGCACCCTCTCTTGCCGGTGGCTCATATGGAGCCGCTGGAGGAGCAAGGGGGAAAGGGACACTTCCTGTTTCTCCTTGCTATGTCACTTCCGGCCTGGATCACCACTTCTCTATTACATTTCCCAGAATCCTCTTTGACTCCTAGTCAGGTCTAACATGCTGCCATTGGCCAAACAGTATTTTATTCAACAATCAATAAGATAAACATACACAGAAGTACATTCCCCATCAAGAGAGTCAGAGACTGAGAAGGCTAGTAACAAGGGGCAGTAGAGGAGTAAATGATTAGAGACAGATAACGGTGAGGGAAGGTGCCTGACAGGGTTTTCATTCCTGTAAAGAGACACCATGACCACGGCAACGCTAATAAAGAAAACATTTAATTGGGGTGGCTCACTTACAGTTTCAGATGTTCAGTCCATTTTCATCATGACAGAGAGCATGGCAGCGTGCAGGCAGATGTGGTGCTGGAGCTGAGAGTGCTGCATCTTGCAGGGAAACGGAAGTCAAATGACACACAAGGAGGTATTCTGAGCATAGAAAACCTCAAAGTCCGCCCACAGTGGCACACTTCCTCCAACAAGTCCATACTCACTCCAACAAAGCCACATTTCCTAATAGTGCCACTCCCTATGAGATTATGGGAGCCAGTTACATTCAAACTACCACAGCGCCCTACCCATTGCCCACTCCAAAACCCATGGGGTGACACACTGAGGCCAGTGACAAGTGAGGACACTGCCCAGTAGAGGGGCTTCCAGTAGCTGTACCTGCAAGTCAAAGGCAGAAAGTTGGAAACAGAAGGACATACGTGACCCTTTCCTCCTTTGTGTTTAATTGTGACTATATCTATGGCTGTAGCAGCTACTGACCCTCAGATGACAATGAAGCTAATAATGCCTTCATAGTGCCAATGAGCTCTGAGTGTCATCTCCTTGGCCATACAAGTACCCATGTGCCTTCCAGAGGACCTTGGGCAAGTTTCCTGGGCCTAGAGCATACAGTTCCTATACCCATATCCCATTGCTCAAATGAGAATCTACAGGTTATCTTCCCCATGCACCCTGCTTTGGGCAAAAGAAGGAGTTTTTTTGTTTGTTTGTTTGGTTGGTTGGTTGGTTGGTTGCTTGGTTGGTTTTTTGGTTTTTTTTTCCCCCTAGGGTAAAAGTTACGTTCCCTGGACCCTTATGAGAAATTGAGTCAGGAGGATACAGTTTCCAGGGTGTATTGCAACCCTTGATGCCTATTACTCCAGGTGCATCATAATGGTCATGGACTCAATCTCTGAAATTGTAAGCAAGCCCCCAATTAAATGTTTTTTATAAGGTTCATTGGTATGAGTGTCTCTTCTCAATAGAACAGTAGCTAAAACAATGGTCAACAAAGCTGCACCTGGGTATTCTGTCATTGGCATAAAACAAATATTCACATGGAAATGTTTCTCTTGTCACCTTTAAATAATATAAAATGGAAACAATTTCATACTTGTCACAATCTACACATGATATGATGTGATGTTTAGGGGCAATAGCATCCAGCTGGTGTTGGGGAATCTCCTCTGCTTGGAAGGATAAGCCGGACCCTGTCTGGTCTCTTTATACATAGTAGCCAAACTATCTGGATGTGAGCCCATGGATTCAGAGACCCTAGAACTGCAGAGGCAGGAGTGGAGGAGAGTCTAGCCATTAACAAGGCTTGGAGAATTGTAGACCATGGAAGATGGGGACAGGGACATCATGTGAGGTGACAGTCATTACTACTTATCCCCATTGTTTTCTCTTGTATAGTCAGAGGTAAAAGATGAACACCAAGACAGGCTAATCGGGCATAGTATCTCTTTAAACCACAGTGAGATAAGCATTCTGAGGAAATGGTGGCAATCAGAAAGCGCCAGAATATGAACATTATTGACCTTCAACATTAACCTTTAATGCCCCTCAGGTCTTCAAGATAATCTCTGATGTGGTAGATGGAGAACTTCTACCCAGGCACCCCTAGAGTTGTTGGCCCAGATCTTAGCCACTGTGTCACTAATAATGGAAAATATAAATATGTCAGGTCTAAGATGCTATCCCTACAGACTAGATATCATCTATCATTGGCACTTAAAGCAATCTATCCTCCACTTGCAGTGTGGCACACCCCTATAGCTGTGACCCCTGCACTAAGGAACTTGGGCAGGAGGGTCACAGTCCCAAGCCAGGCTGACTACGTATCACAATATTGACCCAAAAATAAATAAACAAGTAGGTTCCCAGTTGGTGTTACTGTTTGGAAGGGTCTTGGGCATGTGGAAGAAGTACATCACTGGGGGTGGGACTGGGATTTGAGGTTTTAAAGCTTTACACCATTCCCAGTTCTCTCTCTGTCTCTCTGTCTCTGTCTCTGTCTCTGTCTCTCTCTCTGTCTCTGTCTCTGTCTCTCCCTCTCTCGCTCTTCCTTTCTCTATCTATCTATCTATATCTATATCTATATCTATATCTATATCTATATCTATATCTATATCTATATCTATATCTATATCTATATCTATATCTATATTTCCCTGCTTTGTGCTTGTGATTCAAGACATGAGCTTTCAGTTTCTTCTCCAGCTGTCATGTGTGTCACTTGCTGCTTCCACTTTGCCATCATGGACTCTAACCCTCTTGAACCATAAGCCCAAATAAACTTTTCTATGTGTTCCTTGGTAATGGCATTGTATCACAGCAATATAAAAGTGACTAATACACTAGGTGACACATCTGCCATTACTCCAATGCTGTTTGGTCTGCAGATACTGTGAAGGCCACACTTATATGATCATTGCACATCTACTAAAAGGGCTGTCCATGAGATCTTCCTTAGATGTGGTATTGTGATGGAAACAGAAGATCCAGATGTGT